ACTGAGGACCGACTGCGGACCGACTGCGGACCGACTGCGGTCCTGAGGACCGCCTGAGGACCGACTGAGGACCGACTTAGGACCGACTGAGGACCGACTGCGGACCGACTGCGGTCCTGAGGACCGCCTGAGGACCGCCTGAGGACCGACTGAGGACCGACTGAGGACCGACTGAGGACCGACTGAGGACCGACTGAGGACCGACTTCGGACCGACTTCGGACCGACTGAGGACCGACTGAGGACCGACTTCGGACTGACTGAGGACCGACTTCGGACCGACTGAGGACCGACTGAGGACCGACTGAGGACCGACTGAGGACCGACTGCGGACCGACTGAGGACCGACTGCGGACCGACTTCGGACTGACTGAGGACCGACTGAGGACCGACTGCGGACCGACTGAGGACCGACTGCGGACCGACTTCGGACTGACTGAGGACCGACTGAGGACCGACTGCGGACCGACTGAGGACCGCCTGAGGACCGACTGAGGACCGACTGCGGACCGACTGCGAACCGACTGAGGACCGACTGAGGACCGACTGAGGACCGTCTGAGGACCGACTGAGGACCGACTGCGGACCGACTGCGGACCGACTGAGGACCGACTGAGGACCGTCTGAGGACCGACTGCGGACCGACTGAGGACCGACTGAGGACCGACTGCGGACCGACTGCGGACCGACTGAGGACCGACTGAGGACCGCCTGAGGACCGACTGAGGACCGACTGCGGACCGACTGCGGACCGACTGCGGACCGACTGCGAACCGACTGAGGACCGACTGAGGACCGACTGAGGACCGACTGCGGACCGACTGAGGACCGACTGCGGACCGACTGAGGACCGACTTAGGACCGACTGAGGACCGACTTAGGACCGACTGAGGACCGACTGCGGACCGACTGCGGTCCTGAGGACCGCCTGAGGACCGCCTGAGGACCGCCTGAGGACCGACTGAGGACCGACTGAGGACCGACTGCGGACCGACTGCGGACCGACTGCGAACCGACTGAGGACCGACTGAGGACCGACTGAGGACCGACTGCGGACCGACTGAGGACCGACTGCGGACCGACTGAGGACCGACTGCGGACCGACTGCGGACCGACTGCGGTCCTGAGGACCGCCTGAGGACCGACTGAGGACCGACTTAGGACCGACTGAGGACCGACTGCGGACCGACTGCGGTCCTGAGGACCGCCTGAGGACCGCCTGAGGACCGACTGAGGACCGACTGAGGACCGACTGAGGACCGACTGCGGACCGACTGCGGTCCTGAGGACCGCTGAGGACCGCCTGAGGACCGACTGAGGACCGACTTAGGACCGCCTGCGGTCCTGAGGACCGCCTGAGGACCGACTGAGGACCGACTTAGGACCGCCTGCGGTCCTGAGGACCGCCTGAGGACCGCCTGAGGACCGACTGAGGACCGACTTAGGACCGACTGCGGTCCTGAGGACCGCCTGAGGACCGCCTGAGGACCGACTGAGGACCGACTTAGGACCGCCTGCGGTCCTGAGGACCGACTGCAGACCGGCCGGCTGCTCCGGCTCTCTGGTAGCCATAGTTACACACCCATCAGGCCTAGCTTGTCCATAAGAGGCAGCCTGAAAATAGAGCCAGTGGAGGTTAAAGGTCAGGAACCAGGGAGGAGAAGCCGCAGGAGGCGCAGCAGCAGGTCGGTCTGCAGCTGCAGACCGACCTGCCTGACCACCGGGACCACAGGAACAGGCCAGAGACAGCGCCCCCTGTCTGCTGACAGGTTGTCCTGGTGTCCAGCTCCGTCAATGAGTTCAAAATATTTCCTTCGACCAAGACTGATCCGAATTAATCGCTTTCATCTCTCTGGTTTCCGTTTGTTTTGGTCCTTTCTGATTATGTTTCCAGTACAGTCTCCATGGGACGTCAGGACATCCTACATTGTTTCAAAATGGAGGCCGACAGACGGCGAATGTGAGTTTTAACTGATTCTGCTTCAATGTGTAAACGCAGAAACTATAAAATACTTCATCTGATTATTATGCCATCCAAGAGTGCATATTTTTTTTACTTCCTTTATGGGACAAGAAATAGTTTATGGTAAGAAATAAAGAAAATTAGACATTTCTCTAAATGAAGGTCATAAATAAACAAATAAAGTTGATGAAATAACAAAGAACATCAGAAGCTGACAGGAAGCATCAGAGAGGAAGGGACTGGGTAAAACCACATCCTTTTCACTACATGTACAGTCAGATGATGAAGTCTGGATCGGGACTGAACTGGACTGGATCTGGACTGGATCGGGATTGAACTGGACTGGATCTGGACTGAACTGGACTGGATCTGGACTGGATCGGGATTGAACTGGACTGGATCAGGACTGGATCGGGATTGAACTGGACTGGATCAGGACTGGATCTGGACTGGATCGGGATTGAACTGGACTGGATCAGGACTGGATCTGGACTGGATCGGGATTGAACTGGACTGGATCAGGACTGGATCTGGATTGGATCGGGACTGGATCGGGATTGAACTGGACTGGATTGGGACTGAACTGGACTGGATCTGGACTGGATCGGGATTGAACTGGACTGGATCTGGACTAGATCGGGACTGAACTGGACTGGATCTGGACTGGATCGGGATTGAACTGAACTGGATCAGGACTGGATCAGGACTAGATCGGGACTGAACTGGACTGGATCAGGACTGGATCTGGACTGGATCGTGATTGAACTGGACTGGACCTGGACTGGATCTGGACTGTTCTGTTCTGACCCAGTTCTGACAGTTGCTGTTGCATATGGAAATGTGGCAACATAAAGAATACAGAGGTGATGGTGCTCAGACCCAGTGGCTCCTGTGAGTACTCCTCTGTTGACCTTTGACCCTTGGAGGTGCATTTTAAACCTGTTTATTTTAAACCTGTTATTACAGACCTTGGTTTTAAGGTGGACAGTGATTTTAAATTGGACAGCCACATTAGAGCCGTGGTTAAGTCCAGTTTTTATCACTTAAGGCGATTGGCATCAGTAAAATCTTTTCTTTCCAGGCAGCATTTTGAAACAGTGATCCACGCTTTTATTTCGACTCGACTGGATTATTGTAACTCTCTATATCTGGGAGTCAGTCAGTCACTGCTCTCACGTCTGCAACTGCTTCAGAATGCGGCTGCAAGACTTTTGACAGGAACTGGAAAGAGAGAGCATGTGACCCTGTCTTGGCTTCACTTCACTGGCTGCCTGTTTATTTTAGGATCCGTTTTAAAATTCCTATGTTTGTTTAAAATCGCTGCATGATCTTGCCCCGGCTTACCTCACTGAGCTTCTTCACCTCTACATACCTTATCGATCTCTCAGGTCTGTAGATCAGTTGCTCTTGGAGGAACCGAGATCTAGAAGGAAGCTCAGAGGGGACAGAGCTTTCTCTGTCGGGGTCCTAAGTTATGGATGACCTGCAGGTCAGAGGCCCCTTCACTGTCCACTTTTAAAGCTCGTCTTAAAACCCTTCTATTTTACTTGGCCTTCAACTCCAGCGAGATCTAGTTTCATATTGTATGTTTGTTTGTTTTAAACTGAAAGAGTTTTTATTTTTTATCTATTTTATGTGCAGCACTTTGTATCAGCTGTGGTTGTTTTAAAGTGCTTTATAAATAAAGTTGGTATGGCAAGTAAAACTGCTGAGAATCTTTGCTGTTCTAGTTAATAAGGCTGATATCCAGGAATTATTATTGAAGTTGAAGTCTGATAAAAACTCACGTGAAGATCAATTCATTCTTGAAAATTGATCTCAAAACGTGTTAGCTCATGTTTTCATCATTCACATCCTAAAAAGGTTCTGGTCTGATAGACAAGCACATCTTAACATTAATAATCGTTTATAATGTTTTATCTGGAACTAAATTGAAAAGAAACTTTCTTAATGAAACACTCATTAAAGTTGTTAAAGATCTAAAGTATCTGGAGATGAAGAATCTATTTGTAATTTTTGTGTTAATTTCACATAAAAATTGCATGACATGTTTTAAACTATGTGAGCAGCTTCTGTCAGTACAATCAGTGACTTTGATTCATCAATCTATTAGATCTACTGTGTTTTTGGCCCAATAAAGGGATTATTGTAAGATAATTCACAGATATGGTTCAAATTACCAATCAAAGACCGTCGGTTGAACATCTCAGCGTCTCACTGGTATCACTTCAAACTTTCACACTTGCTTTTTTTCTGTTGAAATCCTCTAACGGAGCCCCGCAGCCAGGAGCCCCGCAACCCGGAGCCCCGCAACCCGGAGCCCCGCAGCCAGCCCCAGCCAGCCAGGAGCCCCGCAACCCGGAGCCCCGCAGCCAGGAGCCCCGCAACCCGGAGCCCCGCAACCCGGAGCCCCGCAGCCAGGAGCCCCGCAGCCAGGAGCCCCGCAGCCAGGAGCCCCGCAACCCGGAGCCCCGCAACCCGGAACCCCGCAGCCAGGAGCCCCGCAACCCGGAGCCCCGCAGCCAGGAGCCCCGCAGCCAGGAGCCCCGCAACCCGGAGCCCCGCAGCCAGGAGCCCCGCAACCCGGAGCCCCGCAACCCGGAGCCCCGCAGCCCAGGAGCCCCGCAGCCAGGAGCCCCGCAGCCAGGAGCCCCGCAACCCGGAGCCCCGCAACCCGGAACCCCGCAGCCAGGAGCCCCGCAACCCGGAACCCGCAGCCAGGAGCCCCGCAACCCGGAGCCCCGCAGCCAGGAGCCCCGCAATCTGGAGCTGCCGAGCGGCCACACTTCCAGAAAGCTCCTCGCGGCTGGAAGCGGGCTAACCGCACACCGTTTAGCCGCAGGCTCCGCCGCTGTCCCACAGTCTGCTGGGTCGGAGCCGAACCGGGTTCCAGGACGAGCAGCGACCATATTTGGGTTAATGGAGAATCTGGAGCTGCGGTTTGAAGGCGGCGGATGGAAAAACACTCAACAAGTTTCAACACTAACGGTAGAAAGTACCGAACAACGAGCAGCCCGGGGTTTAAATGACACCGGTACCTTCACGGATGGGATTCGGAACCGCGGAGATGGACTTTCCTGAACAGAACCTTCTCCGTGGATCCTGCGGGGCTCCTGGAAATCCACGCCGCGACTCGCTCGCTCCAGACGGCAGTTGCTCAACTTCCAGCGAGTCAACGAGTCAGCAGCGGCGGCTGCCGTAAAGCTGCTGCCGATGCTGAAAGCGACTTCCTGCGCGGTTTTCAAAATAAGGCCACATAAATTAAACAGCGCTTTATCCACTGATTAATAAAACAACTGTTCAGCAGATGCGTCCGTGATTCTACATATGTGTAAGAACCCTAATTTTCACAGTAAACAAGACGCACTGCAGCAAATGTTCAGTGATCCTACAACTGCAGTCAACAAGCTTTTCTTTTGGAAGCCAGAAAAATGTGACCCAACTGGAAGTGGTGACAAAAAGCTGATCTTTTTGTTCCCAGCCTGTTAAATCTGCCTTCGCCAGTCAAACCATAGCGTCCCAAAATGGGCACTTTTAAAGTCAACTTTTTGACGAGCCGTAATTTTATGGCTCAGTATCATGACTTTGAATCTCAAATCATGACTTTTCTCATAATGATGATGTAAAAGTCACAGTGAGTTTTCATCCTCAAAGCTTACTTTGAAACTCCTAACTTTTGATCTTTATTATGGTTTTTGTATGTTGTAAATAAAATTTTGAAGCTCAAAATTAAGACTTAAATCTAATCTTGTCTTTAAAACTCATCAATTTTACATCCAAAGTAAAATTAAAATATGGTGTCTCCTTCTACTCTCATAACTAAATAAATAAATAAATTTGTTACCAAAGCAGGAAACTAGCACTGCATATCACCCAAACATACTACTGACAACACAGAGGTGGCAGCATCATGCTGTGGGTGGAGCTCATCAGGACCATCCTCAAGGGAAACCAGCAGAGGAGCTGAGATGGGGTCAAAGTTCACCTTCCAGCTGATCACCCAGATATGTTTAGATCAGAACTGATCCAGGAGTTATAATGGTCTAGTCAAAGGCCAGATTGAAAGCAACTGAGAATCTTTGGAAAGACTTGAAAGCTGATGTTCCCAGATGTTTTCTTTCTTTTTTCTTCTTTCTCATATTTTGCTTTTAATAATTAGTTATTACTGTCGCTTTTTAAAATTATACTTTGATTTATTTCCCTCCAAATATTCCCTCGTTGCATTTTCTCTCCTGTTTTCTCCTTTGCATTTACAGATTCTTTGTTCTTTTTCCCTCTGAATCTTTTTAAGAGCTGAAATAAAAACTGGGAGTAGATTCAGGGTCAGCTGCTCTGCTAGCGGTCAGCGCTGGCCGACTGCAGGTTTTCCTTCCCACTTGTGGCCACAAAAGCTGACTCTGGATCTCCTCCCATGACTCAGAAAGAAAAGAGAACATTAGAAAAATATCTGTAAATAAATGCAACGGAGAAAACAGGAGTGGAGAAAATGCAAGAAATATTAGGAGGAAAATAAGTTAGTGTGTGATTTAAAAAAGTGAGAGTAAACTAAACTCTCACAAACTAAAATACTAAAAAAATGGAAAAAATAATGTACTGAAATAATAAAAGGCGGCGATGAAATGGAAGATGTTCGGTTACGTCCAGGGAGTAAACCTGAAAGTTCTGTCTGTCAAGCAGCAACGCAAAAACTGGATCTTCCTGTAACTTTGGAACAGCAACTTCTCAGAAAGCCTGTGGTGACAGTGGGAGGAAACAACTCAGTTTAACAGGAGCAAAGCTGGAGCAGAACCAGAGCCAGGTTTTATGAAACAGGAAATGGTTGCTTCACATTGATTTTGTCCTGGTCATACAGGATGTGGATCTTTTTCAGCCAGGTGAGAAAATGTTTGAATATTGAGAAACACTGCAGTTCCTGGCGGCTCTGCGTTTCGGGCGGGGAGCCGCTCGGGGTCCTCTGGCACTGAACCAAACATTAGAGCCTGGAAACAAACCTGCAGAACAACGCCATCTTGTTTACAACATGGCTGCCATCTTTAATTAGGCCTGAACTCAGTTGAGATTTAGCGGCCTCATGTGGATCATAACTTCTGCAGAATATTGATAAATAATCTTCATTACACCAGCAGAAAAGCTGAACGGGTCCAATCAGAACCAGAAACCAGATTCCCTGGATCCATGAAGAATGCACAGCTGAGCTCTCCAACTTTATTATTATTAGTAAAACATTAATTAGAAATACAGTAAATATCTTTATGGACTCGCTGAGGGCAGAAGCAGGAAAATAATCCCAGGTGGATCGATGCTTGTTCAGATTATGAAAGTGGTCATTGTGTGAATGTGTGTGTGGGTGTGTGTATGTGTGTGTGTATGTGGGTGTGTGTATCTGGGTGTGTGTGTGTGGTCTCCACTTTGTTCCTCCTCTATATTCAGGAATAGTGCCACCTACTGTTAGAGGGGAGGAACAGCTAAATCGCTAATATTCCTAAAATAACGGGCCATGTCATCTTTTGCAAATATAATTTGGGATAAAAATGACTCGGCTCGTCATTTTAGGAAGGGGAAGATATGAAATGATTTGCTTTAGTGGCCCAGGCGTCTTGCCGGGCAGCGTCCCAGCTCGTGTTTATCCCAGTAGAACCGGATGCGTTTCTTTTAGATCAGCAGCTAGAATGAGATGAATCCAGGAAGCTCAAATCAAATTTCCCTGGAAAAAACAATCATCTCATCCAAAGAACTCGTCTTTCCAGAAGCTGGAAGAGAAGAAAGCGGATTAGAACCAAAACATCTCCAGTACGGACCAGCAGGAGCAACCAGATGTCCTCCAGAAGGATTTATTCACCAAACGTCTGACTTCAGATCTAGAACAGGGCCAGGAGCGAGGATGTTCTGGTTCTGATGTTGTCTGGGTGGACCGTCAGCGATCCGTCAGGCAGAAAAACATTTTCATTCATTTCTGTTTCAAAGTCTCGAGATTTTCTGCTTCATCTAATGAAATCTGGATGGATGAAAGTCTGACCAGGATCTCCGCTCTGCTGCGCCTGTGAAAACCATTCCTGGGCTCATCAGGTCGTGACCTGGCCTCATCTGGAATGGTTTTCCTCATCAGTGCTTTGAGGTGAGCGTCAGAGTGGAAGAGACACGGAAGATCTGAGGCAGCATGTTGCTCAGCTGGTAGAACATCTCCTCTGAAATGCTCTGCAACACAAAGAAAGATGGCGGCCAGTCAGAGGACACCTTTACGACCTCCACAGTTTGACCTTTAGGAGCTTGACACTTTGACCTTTAGGACCTTGACAGCTTCCTGTCCTAAATCAGCTGAAGCCTCTTTGGCAGGGGCCAATCAGAGAGCAGTTCAGTATCAGCCAATCAGAGAGCAGTCCAGCATCGGCCACTAGTCTGCTTTTAGCTTTTGGTCTGGAACTGACAGTACCAAAAGACGTAGCATCTGCACTTTGATGGAGCGACTATCCTGCATATGTTTGCCACTAGAAATAAATTATTTTCTAAACAACGTAGAAATATATAATCATTTTCAGAGTAAATAAAACTACTCTACATGTTGCAGTCCAAAATAAATTCAGAACAAATGCTTCCAAATGCATTTAGTCTGCAGCATGTTTATCATGCAGTAACTTGGGCAGCCTGGTGATGAAAAGGACCAGCTGCAGGAGGTCAAATCACATTTTTGGTTCAGTCACAAAGACTATTATCTATTATCATTATTATTAGTCACACCTGGTTTAAACATTTACTCATTCTTAAAACTCATTGCTGCCGTGTGGCTAAGTGTGAGCTAGCTGCAGGCTAGCTGCAGGCTAGCTGCTGGCTAGCTGCAGGCTAGCTGCTGGCTAGCTGCTCCAGCTGGCTAACTGGGGCTAATCTGATCAGATTAGATCAACATTTCTGTCTGACTGGCGGTGCAGGACAAACACGCCACACCTGACTAATCCAAGTATTCGCACCTCGTTCATGCACGACGCCTGGCATTAAGGTCACCGGCTTCATGTTTGACCTCTGACCTCAGAGACAGGTTAAGTCCAGTCAGATGGACTCTGTTTGGTCTGGAGAAATGTCTCACTGGGATCAGTGGAAACAGATCAGCTCTTCATGGCAAAGGGTGGGAATACTTATGCAAGTGTTTTTTCTTAGTTTTCCATTTTGAATCCATTTGCCAAAGTAAACTTGGTCCCACATTGTCAGAAACGAGGCATCAGAGATCAGGTTAAGAAGATCTGGAAAAAGGCTGGAACGAAGCCAGATGTGGAGAAAGTGAAGCGGTGTGAATGTCGACTGTAAATAAACTGAATTAATCTAAAATATCTAGTGAGAGTAAGAGTTATGTCATCCTGTGTTTGATGTTGAGATAAATGAACTAAACTGTGCCACATTTTCACCTGAAGCTGTTGGGATTCAAATGTTGGATAAAGTCTGAATTAAAACGAGAACTTCATGTTGTTTTTCTGGCACTGATGCATCAAACTGATGAAAATAAATCATTTCAATCTAAAGTGCAGATGAATGAGAGTTTAGGAAAAAACATTAAAGTTCATCTATCAGCAGCTGTGACCTTTGCCCTGGACGCAGATAAATCACAGGCCAGCTGGTTAAACACTGAACTAAAGGTCAAAGGTCACCTAAAATACCAGAAGCTCCTTGCTGTGGCGACACGAAGAGGAACCTGGCTGAGTGACGGCAAACAGCCGCAGGCCTCACCTTCGGCACCAGGAACTGAACGGTGCGGGAGATCCCTCCGTCCCACGAAGCCATTTCCATCATAAAACCTGGAAGCAGAAAACAAGAACAGAAGATTACGTTTACCTCCAAACATGATTAAACATCTGGAACATTACCCATCATGCACTGCATCAAGTACTGCCCATCAAATGCAAGGAATTATTTTTGTTAAATCCAATTTGGCTGACAGACAAAAAAGCAACCGACCCGGTTCCTCCTTCTACCGACTCTTGCAGGTAAAAAACATATTGCGACACCAGAAACCCCTTTACAACAACACTACTGATGTATTTGGAGAAAATTACAATTGATCACCTAAAACAAATAGAATAAAAAAAATTTACAACAGTTTTTCATGCCATAAGACATAAAAGAAAATGAAAGAAAATTCTGATACAAAGGATCATAATTCATGGATGAAAGGATTAACAGGCTCCTGCTGTTTCTGAAGCTCCGTTTTTATC